TAAAATAAAATCCTGATATACCACTGGGTCAGAGTAGGTCCATGGCTCAGGTTTTGGTTTTGTTTTGTTTTATTTTTGGTAGAGACAGGGACTTGCTATGCTGTTCAGGCGGTCTCAAACTCCCATGGCTCAGGTTTTTAATACACACCATCAAACTGCCCTCCAGAAAATCATAGCTGAGTTCCAATGCATGAGAGTGCTCAGGGTTTCAAAGATGACAACTTCTTTTGTGGGAAAAGCTTTTCCATGTTCCATAGTGATTCCAATTGGTCATGCATAGAAACATTTGGGTGAGGATGGCACCAATGTGTGTGTAAGTGCCCAGGGCCAACCCTTCAAGGGGGAAATTAGTGCCTGTCTTCATCTTCCCCTGGCTGCCTGGAGCCCTGGACCCAGCATTGTCAGGGAGAGGGGTCTGCCACTGGCCCAGGTAGGATGTCAAAAGGAGGCATTACCTTAGCAAGGTCACTTCAGTCCAAGTTTGGGTTCCTTCAGCTCTGCTGGTCCAGAAACTTCATGTTAATAAAACAGAAAGGAAACAGAAAACACATAAAAAATTACATATCAAAAGTCAAGCTAAGTTTAATGGGTACTGAGGCTTAGTTTGCAAGATGAAAACATTCTGGAGATTTGCTGCACAACATCGTGAATGTGCTTAACGCTACTATACACTTAGAAATGGTTAAGATGGTCAGTTTTTTTTTTTTTTTTTAAAGACAGAATCTCACTCTGTCAGCCAGGCTGTAGTGCAGTGGCATGATCTTGGCTCACTGCAACCTCCGCCACCTGGGTTCAAGTGATTTTCATGCCTCGGCCTCCTGAGTAGCTGGGACTACAGGTGTGTGCCACCACGCGCAGCTAATTTTTGTATTTTTAGGAAAGACTAGGTTTCACCAGGCTGGTCTCAAACTCCTGACCTCAGGTGATCCACCCACCTCGGCCTCCCAAAGTGCCGGGATTATAGGTGTGAGCCACCGCGCCTGGCCAAAAATGTTTAAAAGTGAAGCTAATCCTTTCAGCTGGAGCTGC